TGATGGCAAACAGGGTTTGTGAATGACCTTATCTGGGATAAAGGATAAATTGAACAATGCAGTTAGAGATGTTTCTAAGACAGAGTATCTGAGCCAGAGATCCATGTTTAGAGCAGGGGAGCCTGCCTTAGCCCTGTTGCAGGCTGCTGCCAGCCCAGAGCCGCTCAAGGTAAGCGGTCCTGGGCTGGAGCCTTCACTCTGAAGCCCTCCTGCACCCCAACCCCCTGCCCTGATCCCCCTAACCCTGTGCTGCACCCCAACTCCCTGCCACACTCTGCACCCCAACCACCTGCCCTGAGCTCCCAATGTACCCCACATGCCTCCTGAACCCCAACCACTTGCCGTGAGCCCCTTCCTGCATACCACACCCCTTCCCACACCCCGCACTCTCTCCCCAACCCCAGCCCTACATTCATGGCCCTGCATATAATTTCCCCACCCAGATGTGGCCCTCAGGCCAAAATGTTTGCCCACTCCGGTTTAGAAGAATACTAAATAAGAAGTTAGATGACAACAGTCTAGGTCAAGAACTGCTAGATCACCATTATTTTAAACATCATGGAAAAAAAGGGTCATAAACTTGCGAGGGCATGCTTTAGGGATGAGGAAGGGTACCATTTACATAAGATATAGGCATTTAGAGATGGACTTTATTTTGATTAAGGTAACTCAGAAAGAAAGGGACATGGGAATAAAAATCACTGGGAGGTTTTCATTAAAGGCACTTCAGTTACATTTTTGAAAGCAAAAGCAACATACACAGTTAAAGCCATTGTACTTGACTATTGACTGATGGCTCTCTCACCTCTTCTTGATATAGAAACTGACTTTGCATAAAAAATCCAACTCTACAGAAACAAACCATGAAAGTAGAGAAGTAAAAGGTAGAAAATAGAAGTAATAATGAAAACATTTTTCTCTCTTCCTCTGGATTCTTATGAAGACGGTGGTTTTGGATTGTTTGGGTTTTTTTTTTTGTAGCAAATATTATGTATCAATGCTTCTTTATAAGCTTTCAGAGTATCCTCCTGTGTAAAATTATTTCATATTAAAGAAAACAATGTGACCTGACAAAGTGAACCCTAATTTGGGGGCTAGAAAACATTTAAAAAATCAGTTAATATTGGATTTCTTTTAATGTGCCCTCTAGTAATGTTTGTTTTGTTTTCTAATTGCTTTATAAATGTTTTAGTATGGGATTTATGGTTAATTTTTTTGATAACTGCAGCATACAGTACTTATTGGAAGTCTCAAAGCTATGTGTATCTCTGTGATATATGTATTTCCACATTTCCATATTTCCCTTTTATGTAATGAAGTCTCTCTCACACTCAAAATGCCATCTGGAAACAAGCTTCATGCAGAGCATATGGATCAACTTTTAGCTGAGAGGTAAATTGTTGACTTGACACTTGGTGTTTGTGACCCACAGGGTGTCTTTACAGACAGCCGAGTCATCATTTTCCTTTTCTGCTAAGCAATGCCTGTTTCACTCATTCTGCAGAATACATTTTTTTTTATAATTATACACATCTAAGGCCTGATTTTCAGAGAAACTGTCCCCTACAACTCCAACTAAAATTGATAGGAATGGCAAGTGTTCAGCACCTTTGAAAATTGGGCCCTTAATGTTGGAAATGCAGTGAATGACTTATTACTGAAATTATACAGAATATCATTATGGTAGCTGGAATTGTGCAGGGAAGTCCCTGCAACCAAATGGGTCAAAACAAAAAACACCCTATTGAAAGGAGACACTCCATTGCACACACTTATTCCCCTGGGGAGATGATCAGAGTATACACACAAAGTTTCAGAGTAACAGCCGTGTTAGTCTGTATTCGCAAAAAGAAAAGGAGTACTTGTGGCACCTTAGAGACTAACCAATTTATTTGAGCATAAGCTTTCGTGAGCTACAGCATCATGCATCCGATGAAGTGAGCTGTAGCTCATGAAAGCTTATGCTCAAATAAATTGGTTAGTCTCTAAGGTGCCACAAGTACTCCTTTTCTTTTTACACACAAAGTGTGACAGATGTTAGCCACATCACTTAATGCACTACTGGAGAGTGCTCAGAGGTGAGGAGGTATAAGAACCTGAATAGAATAGAATAGGGTTATGAGACAACCTCTACTTTTTCTGTCTGCATACCAGCTTTTACTACTGTTTTCTACTATATACTTTTTGTGGAAACAGTGATACCTTTTGCTTTCTGTGTACTATACCTCTCTACTTCCCTGAGTGAGAATTCCTGCAACCATTTTGTTCTTAGAGTTCAGTGAAGACTATTACATAGGAAACACAGCCTGTATACTCTTTCAATAACAAATCCCACTAGAAATATACTGTTTATATATGAAGAAACATGAGCTTTTTTTTTTAAATTGCTGTTAGATATCTAAAACAGCACTAAATGAAAGACTATTATATTGTTTTGTTGAAAAGTAGCCTAGTATACAATTCCTCATACAAAACAGAATGCTAGAATTAATATAAATTATACATGTTTTAAAATCTGTAATGCTTCATTAAAATTAATTGACAATCCATTTTAAAAGGAGCTATATCAGTGTCCTTAGTTTTTTTAAAAGCTTGTTTAAAATTTATTTTAAAATGTTTCCCTAACAGCCAACTGAGACAGACACACACACTTTACAAACTGCAGTCACTTATTTTTAGAGATCTTAATGTTGCTTATACCAAACAGCTGATGACTGTATTGTTTGAGCTCTGTGGGATAAAGTGAAAAAATGTGCTAATTCTGAAGCTTCTTGTTCCCACTCTATCATGCCACTGAGCCCACACTCTGCAGGAAATACCTGTACTCCTACACTTCAGCAACAGGCAAGCTTTCCATTAGAGAGCTGTGAGAAACTTTCAGCCAGAAAACAGTAACGCGCAGTCCACTCTGGATAGTAACTTTCAGGCTCTTGGTAAGGAAATATCTGTGATTATGTCTCCCTGTAGTGTCTGGTCCACACAGAGGCCATGAATCTGCTATTTCCATCTAACAAAGTTGTTCCATGAGATCACAGGGTGCCTTTATTTACAAAGAGAGTAGTTGTGCTGTTGGTGCTGCAGGCCCTGGGCTCTGTCCTTGGTGATGACCCCTCCGGGTTCTGTTACAATAGCTCTGTCAACTGGGCTCTTTATGGTGGACACTCAACCAGAAAGTCTGAAGACTAGTTTACAGCTGAGGGTGAATTAATGGTGGGGGAGAGAGAGAAATAAGAGACAAAATAGCAAGAGACATAAGAAAACAAAAAGATGTATAAAACCGAGGGCTAGATCTTGAGGTGCAGCTAAATTGCACAAAGTGTAATTCTGGAGGCATGTGCAAGCGTAGATTAGATGGGTTAGCCTACTTTAAAATCTTTATTACAGCTGTTGTTTTATTTGAATTGTTGCCAGTGCACTTTCTTACACTCCTCTCTTCTGACCTTTATGAAGTAGCAGTACTTTGCTGATCCTATTGTTACTTTGTGCAATCAGGTCCCTGTGCACTGTTAGAGCAGCCTAAGGACTGCTGTAATTTAGGCAGCTGTATTTGCTATAAAAAGTACATTCATGCCCCTTTTTTCTCTTACACTGAGGTGGAGTAAGAGACTCCACCTCAGTGTAAGAGATTCTGTTGTTGTTGATTCTGCACCACTGCTCTTCATCCTCACTGGGCTGGTTAGAATGGTTTTAGTGCCAAATTACTCTAGCGATGCCATGCACTGTAACTGGAGCACACCTCTCCCCCCAAAAAACTATGGACTGATTTGTACATAGAAGGCTTGAGTGCCAAAAAGATCTAAAAATCTCAGAATCCTAATGTAGAAAGACCCTGTGCCACTGGTGGCTATTTTAGAAAATAAAATCCATGTGTTGCTGGTTTTGGATATCAGTGGTGAAAACAATTGTGCCTCAGCAAAGAACACTGTGCACGTCTCTCTGAACTCACAGGTACACAGGGGGCATCACACCCACTGCTGCCCAACTGCAAAAAGGGTGCAGTATAAGATGTATTTGTAAAAGGTGCTCATACCTGACCTCCTTCTACAGCAAGGAGCAAGTCTTTGAAATGAAAAGCAATGTAAACAGTAGTCAATAAATGTGGGACCTGAACTCATTATTCAAAATTCACCTTCCAATCAAAGAAAATTTGAAAAAGAAGCATCTTTTGCTCTTGAATTTGTTGAACATTTGAGCATTGCCTGACATGGTGGTGCAATGGACTAGAAAGCCTGATTCAGCAGATATGCTGAATGTTCAGCATAACTGGACACACACTTCATGGCTCTTTATTTTTTTTTGTAGGAGAATTTAAAATAAAAAGAGAATGTTTGTTGTTAAAATAGTTCAAAATTAAACAGTGAATTCTGACAGAGCAGAACGAATTCCTGCTGATGAATAAAAGCATGGAATGCTTAAATCTTGAAAACTGTGTTTCCTTAAAATATTCTTTTTTGAAGGGAAGAAGGGTGGTTATGACTCTGCTTCCAGATAAAGTGAAGAGGTAATTGCCTGAAGTGCAGAAAGAATAAGTACTGTTCTCTTGGTTTCGACAGTAATCCAGCTTCCTCTAAAACCAGGTGAATTTTATGTTGACATTAATGGGATTTGGATGAGGGCCCTTGGTTACTGGGGTCCAGGTACTGATAGAAGGGAAAGGTCTATATGTATTTTACATTGTTTTATTACGATGAGCAGTGCCCTCAGCACATAGACAGCTAGAAACTTCATCGTTACAAAGAAAATAATTTGAGGCAGAATAAAACCAGGGAGGAAGGGGAAGAATTGGATACACCCAGCACCCCCACCATGCCGCATGTGCCAAACAAATCATTTACTAGAGTTTGATCCGTCCCTTTTCAATCAATATGCAAATGAGGGGTGTGAGGCTTGTCCGTACAGCCCCCACCCCCACGTTACCTCGCCTGGATATTAACCGTGGCCGATAACAGTCAGTTTCCCTGAGCTCGCCAGGAAACTTCAGCCAGCGGGGGAGGCGGGTTACCGTGTGTCGCGCTAGCAGCGAGGCGCAGGCAGCGGGGGAGCCCGGCGCGGAGCCGGGTCGCTGCTGATCTGGCGGGAGGCTGCGGGCTTTGGTCCCGTATGTGCGAGCGGCCGCCGAAGAGCCAGCCCGCCCCCGCGCAGCCAGCGGCGCCGGGGGCGCAGCACCGGCTCCGCCGCGGGCTGCGCTGTCCGTAGGGAGGCAGCTGGGCGAGGCGAGCGCGGTGGCCGGGGGAGCTGAGCGGCTGCTCCGGTAACGAAGGAGCCGACCCAGACACCCGCCGGCGCCGCTCCCGTCTCCTCCCGCCGGCCCCGCTCTGCCCCGTGCCTCGCCTCCGCAGCTGCCTGAGGGCACCCCCGCCCCGCCCGGCGCTGGCGAGCCCCAGTTGCCTGAGTTGGCTCCGTCCCTGGGACTTGGGCTTTCGTCTCCCCCTGCGGGGGCCCTGCCCGCTCCCGCCGCCAGAGAGCCCCGCGCCTGCGGGAGAGTGAGCCGGGCCCCCGCCGCGGCAGATCGGCTCCCGATGGCGGCGCACCAGCAAACCAGGATCCAAGCCTACCTGGAGCGGAACAGGATCGGGCCCCTGTTCGAGGTGAGGCGGGGCGGCCCCGGCGACCGGGGCGGGGGGAGGGGTTGGGCTGCCGGGGCACGGCAGGTGCGAGCTAGTGTGTGACACCCCCCCCCCCGGTGAAACGTCACGCGATTCCACGGGCTGCAGGCGCGCGCCTTGTCCCCCGGCCGCGCACCTGCACCCTCACCCGCCCTGGCCCTGCTCTCCCAGACACGCGCCGCCTCACGCGCAGGGATTCCCCCCGCACGCAGAGCGCACGCCCCCAGCTTGGCCCCAGCCGGGGGAAGCCCGCCGGGTTCCGCCGCCCTTGGGGCGCGAGTGAGGAGAGCAGCGTGGGCAGCCGCCCTGGCCTGCGTGTGAAGGGAGCGGGGAAGCGTCCCGCGCGTTGCTAGGGCGAGGGGAGAGCGAGTGACTTTGCCCCGCCCGGCCTGAGAGGCGTCCCTGACATTTCCATGGGAGCGCTGGGAAAGGCTCCCGAAGGCTCGCTGGGCAGCGCGACCTGTGCTCACACTCACACACAGCCGCCACATGGGAATACTTCCCTGGGCGTCCCTGTGCTTCAGGGCGAAACACAGAGGCTATGGGAAGACCTAGGGGAGGCAGGAGAATGGAACAACTCCTTCTGATTGCTTAGAAAGAAATTCAACATAGCGAGAAATGAATGTGTATTTACAGGGAAATCACCGCACTGGGCTGGGAACGTAAAAGCAAATCTGCCTACTCCTACCGAAAATCGGTAAGAAATGACATCGGTGCTGCTGCACCCCCAGGCTTGAAGTGGATTCCATCATATACAGCCTTTACAGTTCGGTTCAATGGCTCTCAGCATCCTCAGTATACAAATTGCTCCAGCACCCCCAGAAATGATGTATTTTACATCTGTATTGGCAATAAAACACTTGGCCACAGGCTACATACAGTATTTTGCTAGGTTTTCTTTAATATGAACAAGATCTACAAAATCTAAGTGTGTGTATGATCATATATAGTACTATTGTGAGACATAATCTCTGTTTTTCGTTATTTTCCTTATCCTTTACCAATCTTATTACATCTGATTCACCTATTAGTGTTACTTACCTGGAAAATAACAGTTTGGTGAATTGTGTTTCTCCATGTTAGGAGGCATCTTCAAACTGCAATAAAAAACAGATTCAAATTTTGTTAGAAAACAAGTTGATAAGGGTCAGTTGTTTTATCTTATGTGGACTAAGGCTGTTTTGACAGAATACCTTGGTTCAGATTCAAGGAAGTGGATATTTTCATTCTTCAAATCTGCAATAAAAACTCTTTTAAAATTCAAAGTAGATACCAAGGAATAGACCAATTTTGGTATTTCTAGATTTTTATCAAAATTTTCCCCTTTTTGATGTTAATGAAATGTTAGATTTTTATAAACATGGTTGCTTGGCAACTATAATGAAAACAATGACTAATTCATCTCCTCTTTTGACTTTTCACTAACAGATCTGCCTTTTATACACTAAAATAAAAAAAAAAAACACCTGACCCAATATAAACTTGTTCAATATAGCCAATGTCTCTTAACCAAGTTTCACGATACTATAAGATGCTCATTTCTATTATTAAGAATTAGTAGGATGTATTAATTTTTAAGGACTGGAGGAAAAAACTGCAAGAGGTTGAACCTGTTTTGATACTTTGTATATTATTAGAGTTACACTTTTGGATGAAATTCATCTTGATGCAGAGCTCCTGTGCAAGGCCCTGCACACCACTTAAGCCAGAGGTGGGCAAACTTCAGGCCACATCCAGCCCACGGGACCGTTCTGTCCAGACCCTGAGCTCCTGGCCAGGGAGGCTATCCCCTGGCCCCTCCTCCGCTGTCCCCACTCCCATGAACTCCGTGCCGCCAGCTCTCTGGCCCGCTGCTCCTCCCGGGCAGCGCAGCTGGCACTGGCATGGTATGGGGGCGGGGAGCAGGGGGTTCTGGAGGGAAGTCAGGGGACAAGGAGCAGGGGGCAGTTGGATGGGGTGGGGGTTCTGGGGGGGCAGTCAGGGGATGAGGAGCGGGGGGCATTGGATTAGGCGTGGGAGTCCTGGGGGGGCCTGTCAGGGGGCGGGGGTGTGGATAGGGGTTGGGGCAGTCAGGGGACAGGGAGCGGGGGGGGGTTGATGGGGGATAGGGTCCTGGGGGTTGAATAGAGGCAGGGGGTCCTGGGAGGGGGTAGTCAGGGGACAAGGAGCAGGGGGGGTTGGATGGGTGGGGATTCTGAGGGGGGCAGTCAGGGGGTGGGAAGTGGGAGGGAGTGGATAGGGAGCAGGGGCCAGGCTGTTTGGGGAGGCACAGCCTTCCCTACCTGGCCCTCCATACAGTTTTGCAACTCCAATGTGGCCCTCGGGCCACAAAGTTTGCCCACCCTTGACTTAAGCCTTGCAGATTATCTATGCAGCAGTTATAGGTGGATAAGCCATCAATACCTCCCAACATACCATTGAGGAGTCTCTGTACCAACTCCACTTAGGCCAGTATTGGAAACTGGTGTCAGGAAGGGAGTTATTGGATCCATAGAAAGGATGCAGGGGCCCTGTAGTTGCTTTTCTAGTCCATAAAAGAAGTGTGTGCCTTTTTATGCAAAGAGTCTCCTGCCACTTCACCCAGATAAAGCTTGGCTGCTTCTGTTTTATGCGGGTGATGTGAATTTCGTAGAATCTAGGACTTGAAGGGATCTTGAGAGGTCTAATCCAGTCCCCTGCACTCAAGGCAGGATCTTCCTCCAACATTTATGGACTGTCTAAGAGGGATGTTTCTTTCCTCTTCATGAGAGGGAAATAAAGGTTTAGCTTTTCATTTCAAGATATATACACATCAAGATATCGACCATCCCTGACAGGTGTTTGTCTAACCTGTTCTTAAAAATCTCTAATGACAGAGATTCAAAAACCTTCCTAGGCAATTTATTACAGTACTTAACCACCCTGACAGGAAGTTTTTCCTAATGTCCAACCTAAACCACCCTTACTGCAATTTAAGCCCATTTCTTTTTGTCCTATCCTCAGAGGTTAACAAGAATTGTTTCTCCCCCCCATCCTTGTAACAACGGTTTATGTACTCAAAAACTGTTATCATATCCCCCCTCAGTCTTCTCTTCTCCAGACTGAACAAACCCCATTTTTTTTTCAGTCTTCCCTCAGAGGTCATGTTTTCTAGACCTTTAATAATTTTTGTTGCTCTTCACCAGACTTAGCTCAGTGGAAATGTCAATTTTTCCTAGTTTGATCCTGACATCCTTAGTCAAGGAAAGCACCTTTGAAGTCAGTGGGAATTTGTCTTAATCAAAGACCACAGGATCAAGCTAATAATGTAACTACGCGTGTTGTTATATAGAAAGATATAGTAGATTATGTGTACATTGTGCTCCTAATCAGTTAAATTGAATAATATTTTATAGCTTGTCATGCCTAACAAGTTTTGCCATAGTATAAAATGAAACAGATACTTGGGTTTCAGTGAAAGGTGGGTAAAATCCTCTTCACGTTATTTTTGGGTTCTTTATCCCGTTTCCATTCCTGATTCTTATTAGTCACCAATTGGCAAGGACAATTGTCCTTTGCAATGTGTACAAACTCCCTGGTGCCCAGCCAGTACAGGGTGAAGTTAGATGGAGCTCAGTAAAGGTTATATTTGGTCATCAGGTCATGGCTATTATTGTCACTATATATGGTTCAAGGCAGAAGCTTTAAGGAAGTGCCTAAGTATTGCTGATTTAATAGTGAGCGAATGGAAGGGTGCCACAAGGAATGGGCAGAGAAACAGTGAATTGAGGTGAGGAAGGCCAGGGATGGCAGAGGATAAACAGAAACTTGTCCATCTATGTACGTAAATGAGCAGTATCCCGTAGAAAACAGGATTTTGAACTCCAGGCGCAATCGTACTGGCATAACAAGCTGATGTCTGAAATGCCAATCCATATGTTTTTATGACCAGTAGTTCCCTTGAATGTTAGTCTGGGTGGTTGAAGCTGTTGGTCAGTGCATGGTTTGTCCTGCCAAAGGTGCCAATTACTGACAGTTTTGTGTATGACAGTGTAACTGTCCTCCTTTCTGTCCTGTGTTATCCTGTACTTGTTGCCTCCATTTCTGTCCATTATTCTCCCTATTGTATTGTACTAGTAGTAGCCAGATCTGAACACCAGCTCTTATGGAATTCAACTTCAACAATAGCAACACATGGTGTACATGGGGATCAGTAAAGTTGCAGTTGTTTGGGAAATCTTTATATTGTAACAATTATATGTTGTCCCAATGTTTTCAGGGGGATGGAATATTTCACTTGAATGACACAGGTGTAATAACTGAAGTGGAAAATGTTTGAGAGTATTACCCCTTGCTAAAATTTCAGTTCTAGATACAAAAAGAAAAGGAGTACTTGTGGCCCCTTAGAGACTAACCAATTTATTTGAGCATGAGCTTTCATGAGCTACAGCTCACTTCATTGGATGCATACCGTGGAAACTGCAGAAGACATTATATACACACAGAGACCATGAAACAATACCTCCTCCCACCCCACTGTCCTGCTGATAATAGCTTATCTAAAGTGATCATCAAGTTGGGCCATTTCCAGCACAAATCCAGGTTTTCTCACCCTCCGCGCCCCCCCCCCCCACAAACTCACTCTCCTGCTGGTAATAGCCCATCCAAAGTGACCACTCTCTTCACAATGTGTATGATAATCAAGATGGGCCATTTCCTGCACAAATCCAGGTTCTCTCACTCCCTCACCCCCCCTCCAAAAACCACACACACAAACTCACTCTCCTGCTGGTAATAGCTTATCCAAAGTGATAAGCTACATCTCCCTACAATGTGCATGATAATAAGTTCTAGATAAGTTCTAGATACCTCTCCCGAGAAGGCTATTTGTACCTTCCTTATCTCCAGAGTAGAGGTAATGAGCCATCCTTGCCACAGTGAGTCCGCGGGAATCCATTAGAATCTCCAACCCCTGTCAACAGGATGGTCAATACAAAACTCCAGGCATCCTGCTGCAAAGGGCA